TGCCCTGCAGCCCATGCCTGGATTAGAAACTGAACTGTGTTATCTGTGCACAAGCACGCTTCTTAAACACAGGCCAGGAGTGAGAGGCTGGGACCAGATCAGCCTCTCTTGATTACCATGTCAGCAGCAACCTTCAGGAGCCTTCAGACTGAGGACACCCCCCAGCCTCACCATGCAGTCAGCACGGGCAGTGTCCAGAGTGACAAATGAAACAATGCCAAACTCTTCCCGGCAAGTATGACAGACAAAAGAATCTCGTGGGTAGAAAACCCACACTTGAGTAGACGGAGGGCAAATATTTTCCTACAGAAAGAACTCAAGGGCAATGCAAATATAAAAATAAATGTAAAAATCCAGTGAAATGGCATTCCACATTGAGAAAGACATGGCAATAACACGTAGCATTTTCACGGGACCATTTTCATGCCATTTTCACATGACTTAATTCTTGGGCAGTCCAGTATAGATATTGTTATGCCGTTTTTCACAGATGAGAGAAATGGAGGTTCAGACTGGGTAAATGTCTTGGCCAAGATTGCCAGACTGGGATCAGAACCCAAATCTTGTAAACCTTAGGCTCTGCAATGTCATCTGGAGATTGGGGGAGTCTGCAGACCACGTGGGTCAGGAACGGGCACGTGCCAGTCAGTCCCTGGAAGCCCGCGGGAACTGGATGTGTCCCATGAGTAAGACAGCTGTGATAGGACATGCTAGCTTGAACAGTGGTAACTGAAAAATAGAAGTTTTGTGATAATTGGAAAATTAAGAGAAAAGAGTACTCCACTCGCTGGTCTAATGTATAATGATGCTAAGTGGGTCTGTTACTCTCCCTGAAGCTAATCCACTGGGTGGCTCTTCCTGGACTCCCTGATTACTGGCTCTGGGCCCACCTACACCCTAAGAATCCTACATTTTCCAATCTTTCTCTTACCAGCTTTGCTCCCTTCAAAATGGCAGACTGTGCACGGGAGCCTCATCCTTCCCATCAGAACAGATACCATGAGAGCAGCTTCAGTTCCTTGAAGTACTGAAGAACACAATGAATTTAGCCCATGCCATGAATATTTGATTTAATCAAAAGGGGACTTTAAGTTTAAATTCTTCTGTTCCCACTGTAGTAAGACCCTTGACGTCAGTAAGAATACCCACATCTACAAATATCACTGTAGACTACTGCTTATACTACAAAACGCAGAAAATCGTAACTAGAAAATTGAAGTATCCCCTTGAAATCCTTAATGACTTCATAGATAAAACTCCAAAATCTTTCAACATGCTAATTAAAATACATTTTTCTCAAGTCACATTTCCGTGGAGAATCACAGGTTTCCTGGGCGCATCCTCACATCAAAGGACAATGCCTTCTCAACTTTCACTCAAGTTTTACCTTTGTATTGGTAAGTGATTCTGGCATGGACAAGAGCAATCCTCAAGTAGTCTTAGTATTTACTTCTTCTATTCTTTAAAGGTACCAGAATGGGCTGTCACTTCACAGAACAGAGCCACCACCAAATCCGACATGCTGCTGTCTTCTGAAACATCTACTTGCTGAGTAGGAGCAGACATGCCCGCGACTTCGTGACCCCGCTCTTCTCTGTTCGTAGCTATCTTTTCAGGGCCACTTTTCACTGGGAAATATGACAAGAGTTGCCATATAACCTCAAGGAGAGAATTTAGAGGGGTCAGATGTGGTGACCAATGGCCACATTCACTTTTAGGCTGGTTCTCCCCACCGCATCCCCGCCCTGCAGGTAAAGAGCCAAAGATTTACACACAACTATGTAATTTGGAACTTCAGGGTTTCCAGGGAATCTGTTGGTACCAGAGTTCTTCTGAACTAAAGTTTTTGCTTTTAATATTTTAGTGCTAATGACGTACTGGTTTTAATGATTTCATGTTTATATTCTGGTCTGTGGTCTTCCGTGCATTCGAACTCTGTTCATTGGAATTTGATTATTTTCTTCCTATAGGAATATATTTTCCATGTGCGTTGACCAAGTTGGATATTCCTACGTATGCACTTGGTGATTGAGTAGCACCCAGCAGAGCGCCCAGCAAACAGAGAAGACACAAGATGAACATCATAAATGAATGCCTGTCTTTCCCAGGACTTTAAAGCTATTGAGAGGAAGTGTGATATGTTTGGGGGCCATATCTCCGAAATCCTAAACCCCAATTCTTTATCCCCAGTTACCAAGGGAACCACTAACAGGTCTCAAGGAAAACATTTTTTGTGCCCTTCACCCAACATCTGAGTTGATGATAAATTATTAATCAAATACTTTTAGACCTTAGATTTATAAAGCCAAATGAATACAGTTAACTAAAAGTTATGGAATGTCATGAACACAGCATTGTGTGGACTAGTTAGGATTTTTGTTGTTGTTTCACAGAATAGAAACTCAGCTGACTAGCTTAAGAAAAACAAAGGGAGAAGTACCCTGGAGTCCCATAGCATGGGAAGCTACAAGGGGAGTTCTGGGGACTAGAGGAGGAGCTGTAGGCATGAGAGGTCATAAGGCTCTCCGTCTCCCATGGGGTCTCTCTTCCTGTCTCTGTCACCCTCCTATCTTGCTTCTCCTTGTGACAGGCCCTTGCTACATACAGAGCACCTCTGCCTTGGCAGCCCCAGCAAAGGGAGACCATTTTCTCTCATATAACAGTCCCAGGGAAGGACTCTAATTAGTCCTCCTTGGTTTAACCAGCCAATCCTTGGGTCAAATACTCTTGACAACAAGGCAAGAGTCTGTGGTTGGCCAGGCCTGCCTCATGGAACCACCCCTTGGCTAGTATGGCATGGCCCAATTCCAACAGGGTCACAGAAAACCCTCCAAAGCTAACAAAAAAAAAAAAAAATTGCTACCACAGCAGATGACACTGAGCTATCCAAAACTGTAATTCTAATAATAATGTGGGAAGACCATGTATCTTGTGATTTAATATTTACAATAGTATGTACTGCATCTGGGACTATTCTACAAGGAATGGATAAATGAAAGTGTGAAAATAAAACCTTCTACATGTGTAATTTGTTTAATAGATCACTTGGAAAATATGTATTACTCAACAATCAAACTCCATTGTCTGTAAACCCCACCGTGAGCAATTTCGTCTTTTTGCTTAACGTTGAAGACACAAAGACACTAGTCTGTAACATTTAACCAGATGATCTTAAAAATCTCTTCTAGCCTATGGTAAGTCTAAGAGCCCCTTTAGACTCAAAATACCTCTGGAGGAAGAGTAAACAAAGTTACAATACTGGACAGTCTCTTGGGCTCAGTTGTAACCCCTCCAAATTCATGTATCGATGCCCTAACCCTCAGCACCACAGAAGGTGATGGTATTTGTCTTTTGATAGGGTTTTTAAATAGGTGAAATGAGTTCAAGTTAAGTGGGCCTTAATCCAAGATGACTGTATCCCCATGAGAGGAGGAAATTTGGACACAGAGCGCCAAGGGATCACACATGCAGACCCAGGGAGAAGACAGCCATCTGTCAGCCACAGAAAGAGGCCTCAGAAGAAATCAACCCTAGACACCTTGAACTTGGACTTTCAGTCCTTGATCTTACATTCCAGAACTATGAGGTAATAAATTTCTGCAGTCTGTGATACTCTGCCATGGCAACCCCAGCAGACTAGGCCAAGACTTTCAAAGAGGTGGTGGGGAGGGGAAGACTGCGGCACAGTTTAGACTAACTTGATATTTGGGGTGGGAGAGAACAACAGGCTCTTTTAAGGTTCTATTAAAGGTTGTATCCCTCTGAGTTCCACAGGCCAGTTCCAGCAACCTAATTAACAGGTGTGTGCTGGTAAAGATGTGATAACATAGGTAAGAATTTAAGAGAGGGAAGCAGAGTTGATGACAGCCCTTTGCAGTTCTGCCAAGGCTGAGCCTCAGGAGAGCCCATCAAGATGCGACATTCTGATTGGCCAGACCCATAGCCACAAACCTGACTGGGGAAGCCTGTGACTTCAGGCTTGCCCGCACTCCCCGAGGTGTGTCTCCATTGATCATTTCTGATCGCTGACCTTTGCACTCTGGCAGATCACCCTGGTACCAGCACTCAGGACCCACTGACATCAAGATCCTACCATGAACGTCAATGTGCATTTGGAAAAACACATGCATTCATCAGGAAATAGCCAACCCTGCACTACATGAAAACCTGGCACCAGAGGGAAAATATTTTTGTCAAACAGACCAATTGCTAAATGAACAGGGTTTGTGAAAAATCACATCTACTATACGGGACTTTTTAGTTCATCAGCGTCACACTATCAGATCATCACGTGGGCAAAGCAGGGCCTGTAAGGTTGTTAGGACAAGATCTGAAAATTGCTTTCCTTATTGAAAATTACGATATTTGCCGACATGGAAGTTTTTGCTTGTGTGTGCGCTCAAATAAGATTTCTGACCACCATTGTTTACAGCCCAACCATATTAATATCGCCACATAACGAATTCCAAAGAAGACCGATGAAATATTGAAATAACTCAAGCATTGTGCACCTGCTGAAGACTGCATTTCACCTTCACGTTCCTTCTTTTATTTATCACCCACAGACGTTTTAAAAAAATTAAACCTGATAACGTCAAAAGATGAGAAAGGCTAAACTCAGAGAAATAAAGGAACCATAAATCAGGAAAACTTTGGGGCTGCGGAAAGACACTTTAATTTTGTAGACAAAAGACTGCATTAAGGAGGAATAATGCAATAATCAAAGGTGAACGGATCGCTATTGTCTGGCATCTTCCTCTGTGGGAATTTTCCCACCCCTGACAGCTGTAAGGGGGGCAGAGGCGTTGAAAGTGGCTGCGCCTTTATTCTCTCACCCCCTTCCTCCCCGGCCCCTCCTCTCCTCCGTCAATAAATGTCTGCAATCATATTCTTGAGCTCCTGTGTGATTTCAAGGTTCATCTCTTCCATGCAGCTCAAACACTAATTATCCCAGCTGTAATTAGTAAGATAATTAAATACTGGCTCACTCATCACTCTACCTTGGGTCGGGTCGTGATTCTCCCAGAAGACCTTGAGCAGTTCCTCAAAGCTGATGTGTTCTGGCTGGTACACGACTCGGATGACTTCGGCATGGCCAGTTTTTTCTTGAAAGAAACAGAACGTACAACCAAAATTTACTGACGATATAAATTTATGGCAAGTTATCTGTTCCTAAAAAACCAACAGACGGAAGCTGCAACTCTTCCCTCCACAGGAAAGGGGTAAGCATGACCGGACATCAGCTACCAGGCTCGTCCTGAGTCTCTGCCATGGGCCCCTTTTCCATAAAAACCTACAGTTCTCCAGTGAGCTTTCTGCCATGATGACGTCCACATTGTGCTCTAACACCTTTTTTTAAGTTCATGGACAAACAAATGTGGGTTTTCATTTTTCTGTCTCACTCTTATGAAACCTTATGGGTCCAACTTGACATAGCGCTCGAGATTTGAAACTCGGCAAAGGGGAGTGAGCCAATTTATTTTTATCAGCACCCCATGCTGTATGCAGCAAGCTCAGCTGTACTACAGTGAGACGGCGCCAGATAGGGAACCCAGTAAAAAAAAACAGGCTGATGACTCGTTCACGTCAGATAAATTGGTTAACAGAGGGACATATTTGCTGTGCTGTTAACACTGAGGCAGGGGTCAGGTGCAAATACCCAGTGGGACAGTAAGTGTCTTCTCAGCCTAATTCGTCTCTACGGTAGACAACTACTCTGCAGCTTACATCTCTTTGCAGGACCCGCTGTGAGCAGGCGCATTTCCATAGGTGGTCCCAAAGGTTTTGTGGAATGAGGAGGTAGGCGTTTGCAGTGCCACTTGTACCTGTGGAATTCATGCCTTATTTTACAGTCTTAGATCACGGTAAATAAAAGACCCCTTCCTAATAACATCATCTCTATATTTAAATTTGTTCTCCATCTCTTTTTAGCAACCTTATGTGTAGTGAAGAATTTGGCCTTGACCAAAGAGAGGTCTGGCCTTTGTCCTCAGATCCTGGGAGATGATCTATATCATATCCAATAGAAATGTCTTATTTGGGGCAGGGGCTGGCCACACTGGGTCATAGGATAGGGCCGGCCACACCTAATACTCTTAGGGTATTGGGACAACCATGTGGATTAGGGTGGGGGCTCTAGATAACCTGGTATCAGTGCCCTGGAGTCTGAGTTCAACCATGGGGGGCAATCAATGGATCAATGAATCATGCCTGCACAATGGAGACACAACAAAAACTCTAGACCAGTGGTTCCCAACCTTCCTAATGCCACGACCCTTTAATACACTTCCCGTGGGTCTTGACCCACAGGTTGAGAACTGCTGCTCTAGACACTGAGGCTCAGGCAAGCTCCTCTATTTACAGGAGGTTTATACTTCCAAATTCATGAAACAGGAAAACAGAAATATTTGGAACCTGCCCAGACTCCTGCCTGTGCATCTCTGTCTTTAGCTGATTTTGAGCAATAGCCTTCCCCTGTAATACTCGTACCCGTCACTATCCCCTAACGAATATGAGGGCAATTTGGGGATCCCCTGAACTTTCTCCTTAGTTTGCAAAAGTTTCTTCCCATGTATTTGTTATCTCGCTTTAAGGATCATAAATGGCCAATGGGATAGGCAGAAAAGACAGAAAACCAGAAAACTGAGATACAAAGAAAGTTAGATTTGCCCAACGTCACAAAGCAAGTGAATTTGGGGCCCACAACCTAAAAAAAAAAAAAAAAAGCTTTCTGACATCTTGTCCACAGTTCTACTCAAAACATAAAAGGAACGAGAGCAAGGTGAACGTTTGAAACCTGTGTCCAAAACAGACATTACCTTTTATTTTTTTAATATCATGATCTTTAATTTTTAATACTTAAAATTATTTTGATTGTAGAAAAAAATTGCAAATACTTTGAAGCTTAGAAAATGCGAGGAAGTATTAAAAAGAAAATGAAAATCTGGGTGGCGCCTGTGGCTCAAAGGAGTAGGGCGCCAGCCCCATATACTGGAGGTGGCGGGTTCAAACCCAGCCCCAGCCAAAAACTGCAAAAAAAAAAAAATCACCTATCCTCCTGCCACAAAAGCATTATCAATGTTTTTTACACATCTCTTTCTGGACGCATTCCAGACGCGCACATACAATTTGATCCATTGCCATCGTGACGGCATGCTTTTCCCACTTACCAGGGTATTGTGCCTTTTTCCCCATGTCACTGAAATTTTTAGAAAACGCCATCTATAATGTCTACATAACACTGCGTCAGATGGCTGTTCAGCTACTTATTCAATCACCCCCTGCCAATGAGCACACGGAAACATATTTTTATCCATGAATGTCAATGTTTTTCCACCCTTCTGAGGCTGCCTCAAGCCACAGTTACATAAGGGAGATTTCTAAATCAGCGTTTACGAACACTTTGTAATTTCTCAACGTAAGCTCCAAACTGCTTTTCAGTAAAGTTGGCCTGATTTTCTCTCCCCATCGGCAGCATAGTTGGGGGTAAGCCTCAGTCACCGATGTTTTTAATCCTTAGTAATTAATGGCTATAAGATAGTATCCTATTGTTTTATTTAAAATAAATTATTAGTGAGGTAAAAGATACATTTCATGGTTGTTAGTAATTTTAATTTCTTCTTTTTTTTTTTTTGTCATGTCCTTTTAATAATGGGCTATTAATTGATTATACTTATCTGTTATTATTAATTGATTAGTCCACACAGTTTTAATTCAAATACTATGGTCATTCACGTTAGCCTCTGAACAGACATGAAAAGAACAGGAGGAGAGAGTTTGGAAAGAACATGAGGCTCGGCGCCTATAGCTCAACCGGCTAAGGCGCCAGCCACGTACACCTAAGGTGGCGGGTTCGAATCCCCAGCCCGGACCCACCAAAACAACAA